AAAAAAAATTAAATATCGCAAAAAAGAAAACTTTTCTTTTTCTTTCTTTTTTTCCAAAACTCTAGGAAGACTATGATTAACCGTAGGCTAAAATTCAATTAATATTACATTTTTATTTTTTCATTTTAAATCTTATTATTAATGTATATATGTATATATTATACATTATGTATGCATAGATGCCCCCCTTTTGCAATATCCGCAAAAAGCACGCGAGTTATTTTTATTGTATTGTTTAAATGTGATGCGATCTTCAAAATCAGGAACATATTTTATATATTATTTTCATGTCAGTTACTTCCTTCTTTATTTCTTTGTAAAATTTTTTTCTTTTAATTGTGACAGTTATATGATACAATTTTTTTGTTCTTCGTCATCTTTTACAGCTGGCATTACTTTGTACATGTTCGCGATACGATCTTATAATTGCAGCAACATATTCGAAAAATTTTATATTATTTTCATGTAATATCAACATATTATTAAATAATACACCGAAAACTGCAATACCAAGAAAAATTCAAAATCAACAAAATAAAATTGACTACTAAATAATATTTTCGTAATTAAAAAATTTTAAAGCACAATTCTAGCGCTATTTTTGAATTGCGAATCTATTCTTCGCATAAGAATATTTTCTCCATTGATAAATAATTCCACCAATTATGCAAACATAATTGGATAGATATTCTTTATTAGAAATTTTCATCGTTCATTAAATTAAATAAATTTGGTCATTATTGCTACAAAATAAAATATAAAAACATGGATGGACATGTTTTCATGAATTTTTTTTTCTATTTTTTATCTTAAGTTGCTCACAGATAGCACGTCGTAAATGAATACAAAGAACAATTAGAAAAACCGAAATTATATTAAAGTTTTTTTTTTTTTTTAGGTGGCACCTAAAAAGGCCTTGGAAACTTTATATATATATATATTTTTTAATAGCGATAAAAACATTAGTTTAGTTAAAAGTATAATACGTAGAACATATTTGAATACGTTTATTTTAATAGACTGATAGTATATATTTCTTTTGTTTCTTGTAAACTGCTTACAATAAGATGATATATTTATTATTTTTTTGTTATTTAATAATTATTAATTATTTTTTTAACAAGTAAGCAGAGTTTTTTTATGTAATGTAGAGAATGACTATCATAATTCTATACATATTAGGATAATAAGACTTTTGAGATTGTAAAAATCATCAAAAAATCTATCACAATTACCATTTACGTAACAAGTAATTCTCGTTTCATTTTTTTTTCTTTTATATTATTATTGTAATTTAAACATCAAGGCAAATAAGGGGTGAATTTCAACAGTGGCCTAAATTAGCCAAGTAGTCTTCCACAGATAAAAATATGTAAATAGAGTAAATCTATACTAAAATATTCAAGTATATATAAGGTGAGCGTAATATAATAATTTTGTGAGGTAAAAGACCCTCTCATTAATGGTCATCCATTCATTATACTATAAGTTCATTTTTTTTTCTTCTTTGTCTTTAAATACGACTGGCAAAAATGTTTGCAACATTTCTTTTCTCCCTCTTATTCTCTCTCAATATTATTATTTTTTTCTTTCTTATATTCAACATACCATTAGAGACCATTTGATAGCTTTGTATCAGGTGTTATTGTGCATCAAACAAAAATACACCTTCCACAATACGTCTTGCTAACAGTATTTTCTTTTGGTATCTCTAATTATATTTACCTAGCAACAACATCAGAGACTCTGTAAGGACACAACTTATCCTGACGATACTATTATCACAGGCATTATTTATATAACTCTGCTAACCATGACTATTAAATACTTCAGAATTACATCTTTTTTTCTTAATATATATAAAATTAAAACTTCTAGTAATAAAAGATGATTACGACTGATTAGCTTAGGTGTACGTACGTAGGCTTCGTGCAATTTACTACAAATGTTATGCGCAAATTTATTTTTTTTGTCTTGTTTTGTTTTGAGTAACTTTCTATTATCGTTCTTGTGGTTCTGCATCATTCTGTGTTTTTAGACATATCTCCCATTTCCTTATTAAATAG